TCTTAACATACTACAGGTGCTAAGCTAAGGAGTACGTCAGCAGGTGGTTATTTTCAATAAGTTGACATAGCCATTATCTGAGGAGTACATCAGCAAGGGGTTCTTTTCAATACCGTATTTTCTTGTTCTAAAACTACAAGTTCTTAATATGACTTATATTTCAATTCTCTGGATACTATCAAATTGGTTTAGAGCAGTTTGATCACAGAAATAGATCTTAAATCTAGGAGAAAATTGCTGGAAGTAAAGAATGTTAGAGAGGGAATGAAGAGAGAAATTGCAACAAGAGATGAAATACAAGGCTATGGAACAAGGCTAAGGCAGTGGGAAGCAATCCAAATTCATCGAAAGGGTCCGACCCTAAACTGAGGGGTGTCAACTATCAACTGCTAGCAAACTGGAGGAATCCCCCAAAATTAGATAACAAAAACCATATTTTATGCTCAAGTTACTGGAAAAGCTAGAACATCCAAAAGCAACTTCCAAACAGTTTCCACAAAAGAATGTGCAAGTTCTTACAAAACTAAGTTCAAAGAGGGTACAAGTAATCTCATTTGATTTCTCCATAGGGAGAATATATGTCCAAAATGTAATTATGAAAATGGCCTCGAAGGCAATAAAAGAAAGGAACTTATAACTTACTACCAAAATTGTCAACTAAGGTCAAGTCCGTACAGCATCTACCAATTAATGTGACCAAAAAAACCAAGCAGCTCATACCTGAGTTTGCAAATCATCGCCAGTAACAATGTTACCAACAGTTCGAAGTGCAGGAATGAGCACTGAAGGAGCAGGATGCCTGGAAAATAATGAATCATCTGATTCAGAAGTCTAAAAGAAGAAAAATATAACACCCCTCAATGATTGTACACTCACATTAATAGCTCGACGAGACGAGGGCAAACACCTGCCTCAATAACAGCTTGGATTTTGTCATTCGTACCATCAGAAAGGTATGAGAGTGCCCAGCAGGTATCAGTCAAAACTTCTTCATCATTCGAATGCATTAGACGTGCAAGAGCTGGAAGTGCTGGTTTGACCTGTCAGAAAAATGGCATGAAACTATTACGAATCATAAACCCACAAACTAGATGGACAAGACAAAATTAATAAATTCCTTCTTCCTAGTGAAACAGTCGGTGGATATCCACCAAGTTTTGAAAAGCTTCCTACATGCATAAACAAGAGGACAAAATGGGGGGTACTAGATTTATCCAAAACCTAATTACTAGCACATTATCTCTTTCAAATCTCAAAATCTTCGAAAAATTATCCACCAGATCAAAAGCAGGCTGTGGTTTGCCCCTGCAAAAATTGGATAGCGTCCAGGTAGCATTCCTCAGCATAGAAAGCTTAGCTTGCTCGTTCAACTGTGCTAATAAAGGAGGCAACGCTCCATTACCAAGAACCAGGTCACGACATCTTGAAGAATCCCCAGCAACATTTCCTAAAGCCCAAACAGCCTACAGATGGAAGGAGAAATTAATTAAACATTCCACGTAACAAATGTTTGCTTATCCAACAACACTAACAAATCAACTTAGCACAGGAAGTATGAATGTATTTCCTCTCCATTTCATGAGAATTAAATAAAACTGATGCAACTTGTTCTGATGGAAGAGGAGGAGACATATAGATCTACAATAAAGGAGGGGAAGTATATAATAATTTCAGAAGTGGGGAAAAGGTCCCATAGGCATACCCATTTAAAGAAACTCAAACAGCTTACCTGCTCACGGACATCATCACTTGGAGAACCAAGAAGTTTCACAAATATTGGCACAGCACCATGATCAATGACCACCTTAGTGTTTTCTGATGTTCCCGAAGCAATATTTGTAAGAGCCCAAGCAGCTTCAAACTACATAAAATATTAATGTAACAAGCATTTATCACTTTGTCACGTCTTTCAAATACTGCAATAGTATATAATATAATCTCTGTATCAAACCTGAAGCTGTGGAAAATCCTCTCTCATTAGAAATTCAACAAAGCGAGGAACAACTCCTGCCTGTATAACTTCTTCAATAGGGGGACTACGCTCTGAAGAAGAAATGTTTTAAGGTTACGAACAATCCAAATACAAACACGACGATGTTCAATATTAAAACATTACCGACCAATGGATAGCAGTTTCCTAAACTGAGTAGTCGATTCGAGTTGCAGACTACCATCATCAGACCAAACACCCGCAACCATGGATGGAAGATGCTCCAACTGCAGTTAAAACATTTCCACATTAACAAACGTGAATTTCCAGTAATGAAAGTACTCGCTCAAAGTTTAAATTCGAACTGATTCTGCCTAATCAGTCCACTGACGAGAAAAAGAAAAACAAAGGGAATCTTCTCAGGACAAAAAATTGTCAAGCTTGACCGAAGTTGACTTTGAATTATAACAAAAACAAAAACTATCGCATGGTTTGGGTAAGAATAATTCACTTCAACTACATTCAGCAACAGAAGTTAAGTCGGTTTCAAATACTCCAAGGAGGTGACTTTCAGAATGCAAAATCAATGTCGGTAAAATAAAGATCGAATCAAATGCTATTTAAAAACGAAGTCAATCAGGCCTAAGAACTCAGCGTCGAATTGAAATGAGCAATTTCCCCAACAGTTAAGTGGCAACCAACAGCTTTAATAGACACGACATAATCCCACATCCCCAAAAGTCGAAATGAAGACTCAACCAACCTGATCTAACACAAATTCCACAAAAATGAATTCAGCAGAATCAAAATCCCTTACAGAAAAAATTCATTTAGCTAAAAAAAGAAAAAAAAAAACTCAATAGAACCTGATCGCCGAGCTCACAACGGCAAACCCTAAACAGCCACCAAAATCAAACTTCAACAGCAAAATCAAGACATCGCATTTCTCCCCCAAAAGCAAGGGAAAAAAAAAAGGAAATCCAGAAATGAACAACACAATTACAAACTAAACTCGTTTAAAATTGACCTTCTTTTCCACTAACGATGAGTGAGTGGAAGTTTGCAGTTGCTGGGCTTGAAGACCCTCGCGCCTCTTCTTCTGCAGGCTCTCCTCTCTGCGATTCTTCCGAATCTCAACCATATTGTCCTCCCTTCTTCTCCGACCTTCATCGGCATCCACCGCAACCTTGTACCGGTTCCGCCGAACCTCAGCCCTCTCGTTCGGCCTCAGCGACATCGTTTGAATACCGGAGAGACGAACTCAAACCCCGATTAGTAGATGAAATCTACGATGTTCCAATAAGGAATGAGGGATTTGATTCGCCGGAGAAGAAGAGAGGAAGAATTTGGTATGATTTTTTTTTTTTTTTTTCGAGTTTTGAGTTTCACAGTGGAAGAGAGAGAGAAGGAGAGAGAGTGTAGTGAACGTTAGGGAACCCTACCCATGAATTTATATTGACGTGCTCAAGAGCGTGCTCTGGTTCGTAAATCGACTTCGATTGGGAAATTATTACGGAATTGACACTAATTATTAACTTTAAAATACAATTTTATAGATTAAATTTTCAGATTAATTAATTTTTTAAAATTGAATTTAAAATGAATTATTAGAAAAGTCTTCAAATTTGTAACATGCCGACACAAGGTCTCTTTTAATTTGTAACATGCCGAGCGGATTCTAGTACTTGAAAGGGGCAGTGTTCCATTCGAAAAGCCTAGTCTAATACACTAATTAGGATTCCTCACCATTCTCACACGCTTTCGACTCTTCGGTGTTAGACAAACACGACTCTCCACAATAGTATGATATTGCCACTTTGAGCATAATCTCTCGTGGTTTTGCTTTGAGTTTTCCCAAAAGGCTTCGTACCAGTGGAGAGAATATTATTTGATTATAAACCCATGATTATTCCCTAAATTAGCCGATGTGGGACTTTCATCATCCAACCGTGTAAGCTAGAAGATCTTGTATGTTTCATCATTCCCTAATTTTTATTTCACCCTTTTAATTAACGGGTTTTGGTCATCCTTTCTTCTCTTTACAGGTTTGAGTTATTTAGGTTTTGTCTTCAACGTCATGAATTTTCTATCAAAAGATTAGAGGAGGTCGTCGGCTGCCTAAGAGGAGGTGTTCGGTACGAAAAGCCTAATATGATAAACCAATCAAGCTTCTTCACTGCTCTCACACACCTCCGACTCCTCGGTGTTAGACAAACACGACTCTCCACAATGGTATGATATTGTTCATTTTGAACATAAGCTTTCATGACTTTGCTTTGGGTTTTACGAATAGGCCTCATACCAATGAAGAGAGTATTATCTGATTATAAACTCATGCTCATTTCATAAATTAGCTGGATCCCTTGTTCCTTCAATTGGAAGTATGGATCTTAATTTCATGATCCAATTTTTTCAATTTCGAACTTATTTTTGGATACAAATCACGAGAATAATCTTTCATTGAGAGGAAAAGGATTAAATCAAAAAAAAGTTTTTGATTAGAATATTAATAATTCCGAAGGATCCCTTGAGTATTAAAGGATGAGACTTTCATCATTCAACACTCGGTACAAGTTTGAATCTTTGAAGACAGTGTCTCCAATACCCGAAGCTAAGTTTTTAGGACATAAATGCTACCGGTTCATAAACTTTTTAAAATATATGTAAACTTCTAAATTAGTGTTTATCTTTTCTTTTTTTTTTTAATCAATTTAAATTTGTGTATTGCAAAAATTTTAGAAATTAAAATTATAATTGCAAAAAGTTTATAAATCATATAAACATAAAAATTTTAGAAGGAAACCACTCAAAAATTTTACTTTAAAATAAAAAATGTTTAAACAATGATATTTATACTTTTAAAATTTCTACTTCAAAATAAAAAATGTTTAAACAAGGATATTTATACTTTTAAAATATTAATTATAATCTTAACCTTATCTCATAATGCCTATTTTGGACTTTTCATTTTAAAAATGTACTTTTATTAATGTGGGCTTTAAAAAAATGCTATTAAAACTTGTAAAAGAAAGCCGATTTTCATTGCCAAGTAGAAAATGGAGGAAGCCAATCAGAGAAGCGAGATGATCTAATAGTTTATTTATTAATAAAAGAAGAAAAAAAATAGCCAAAGACTTCCTAGCAGTGAAAAGACTTAAAAGCCCCTCCAACTTGCACTAAATTACATTAAAGGAAAAGTTAAAACACCTTTCAAATCCCCCAAACCCAAATCAATATACCCACATCAGCCAGGGAGATTTTCGTCACTGTAAAATTTTAGCAGCGGGAAGAGTTCCGTTTGGGCGCACTAGATCTGGAACCGTTAGTAGGACGTGGCCTCTTTGAGGCCGTTGGATTGTCGTTCACTTGGAACCCTCCCATACCATCTGAACCGACCATTTCCATAAACATCCTCTGTAGATCCTCGAAGCTGTCACCCTATTAAAAAAAAAAAAACCAAAAAACCAAAAAGGCATTTCAGATATTTGTGGACGACGAACAATCCATGGCTGAAATTAATTGGCTTCGAAATTGGACGGTCAGGATGTTATTACCTCCGGTTTGGCGTTGTTCATCATTGTCATCATTTCTTGCATAAAGTCGCAAAATTCCTGCACCGCAAGCGGCAATGAAACCATTATTTTTCCTCAAAAAAGAAAAAGAACAAAAAATAGTTTTTTTTTTTTTAAATAATTGCTAAAAATTCAGTATTATTTGGTCCATAAAAAATTTAAATCCACATTGAAGTAGGAAATATTTCAGACCACAATTATTCGAATTTTAAACTATTTAGGCTCCAAATATTTTATTATATATATATATATAAATTAAAATAATTTTTTAACTAAAGAAGAGGATTAAAAGAGTATTAATATATATATATCAAACAAGAACAAGCACAAATCATTTTATTTCAATTCTAATTGACTAATCCGATATATTTTTCACATCCAGCATTCAAACGAAATTCAATTTCATAAAAGAAAGATGTCTGTCTAGGTATTGACAGAGAGAAATCTTTCCCTTCCATATCCCTATTCTAGCATCCTATTTTAATTTCTGTCTCATTGATCTTGATGAAGATTTGGGCGGGATCGAGAACGGCAATATAATCTTTAGAGTGAAAAATCTTTCCATACTCCACCGCCCGTTCAGAGACAAGTTATCATATTAAATGAACATGCCTATGAACAATATATGTCTATGGATAAATAGTTTTTTTTTTTTTTTTTTTTTTTTTTTTTTTTTGAAGTTTTATGGATATTAATGACATTTNTTAAAACCCAATAATACTTTTTTTTAACAAAAATATTAACAAATTTCATCTAACCAAAGAACAAAATTTCTATAATCTAGCTTTTTAAATATTTGTTTCATAAGAAACCTTATTTTCTACATGACAATGAATTAATTTTTAACATAGATGGAATCTTTTTTTTTTTTTTTTTAATCTCAAAAAGGGAAGTTCTAGAGAGACGCCATTGGATGACAGCTTTTGTACGCAATGAGAAATCATGAATAATCACAACAGCGAAAAGAAAAAGGTGGATAAAAAACTAATAACGAAGTTGTATAAATAGAGCATGATGAAAACGACGTCGTCTTTTCCGGGAAAATAATCATGCCATGCCAAAAATATCTAATTGGAATAATAATGAATAGTAATTAATAAAAAAAAAAAAAATCTATACGAACCTCATCGTCTTCTTCCGTTGGATCGTATAGACCGGCGTCGTAGACGGACCTCTTCGCCTGATCGGAGAGAACTGTGAGAGAGGAGGCAGATGGAGCAATCAACGCGCGTTAGTGTCCTAACCTATGAACATTGACGGGGAATTCAACGGCGTTTACAAAATTGACGGGGATTAGGGGCGGAGAATCGATGATCTCACCTGAATACGCTTCTTGTACTAATTGAAACTGCCGCTTGGCTTCTCCGGCCACCGCAGGATTCCGCGTACACCGGTCCGGATGCCATTTCTTATACCGCAAAAGAAACGAGAACAGAAACAGTTCGGATTTCACAAATTCGCTCTCAAATCGGAAGAAACAGAACAGAACAAAACAAAACTCCTCCAAATTTCATTCCGACTAAAAATCTGAGACAGAAAGAATAACCTAGAAAAATCGAATTTCAAAACAATTAAATCGAAAACCGAGTTCAGTACCAGAGCGAGCTTGCGGTAGGCAGTACGAACATCGGAGAAGGAGGCGTCCTTACGAATCCCAAGGATGGTGTAGTAGCAAGCTCCGCCGTCGGATCCTCCTCCCCGATCCATCGAAAAATTGGAATCAGACAGAAGAGAAGCCGCAGAATCTCGAAACACAACCACCACACCAAACAAAAGGAGCAAAAAACAACTTTCAGATCACCATAACAGCGCCGTGGACTTCAAAAACGGAGAAAAAAGAAGAAGAAGAAGAGGCTCCGTTGCGTTGGTTTCTTCAACGATTGGTGTGTGGTCTATTCCGAAGGGCGAGTTGACGGTAGAAAAAGATGAAAATATCTTGATATGAAGAAGGAAAGTTCCAGAGATTGTTATTAATATTATTACTTATTTATTTTTCCCCACCGGCAAGAGCCATCGAATACTTTAGGCTAGATATTTTTAGCCGTAGCAATATGCCACTTGAGTTCACACTATTTACTACACATGCCACTCACTTTGGGAATGAGAGTAAGAACATGTGAATTTACTCTCATACCCTTCTTTTGGAAATATCAAAGAAGAGGAGTTGGCCGTGCTACCCCCACCACATATTTCAATTTTTATATGATAAATTTCATTTATTTGTAAGAATCAGTTAGATGTATATTTTTAATTATTTCATATTTTAAACTTATTTTCAACTATAACAATAATTATTTTTAAAAAAATTACTATAATAATAAAAATTAAGTAAATAATTTCACGTTAGCTAATTTAAGAAATGATCATGAAATGATCACGGGTTTATAATCAAGGAATACTCTCTTCGTTGTATGAGGTCTTTGGAGGAAGCCCAAAGCAAAGCTCCATTGGTATGCGGCTTTTTGGGGAAGCCCAAAGGAAAGACACGAGAGCTTACACTCAAAGTGGCTAATTTAGGAAATGATCACGGGTTTATAATCAAAGAATACTCTCTTCATTGGTACAAGACCTTTTGGGTTTAGGGAATGATCACGGGTTTATAATCAATGAATACTCTCTCCATTGGTATGAGGCTTTTTGGGGAAGCTCAAAGCAAAGCCACGAGAACTCTCTCCATTGGTATGAGATGTTTTGGGGAAGTCGAAAGCAAAGCCATGAGAACTCTCTCCCATTGATACGAGGCCTTTCGAGGAAACTCAAAGCAAAGCCATGAGAGCTTACGCTCAAAGTAGACAATATCATACCATTGTGGAGAGTCGTGTTCATTAACAAATAATATAATAAAAGAAATAAGTAAATAATCATCATCTCCATTTAGCTAGAGAGACAAACTCTCTTTGATCCCTACTCATTCTACGTGTAAACAGAGATGAACCTGAGTAGTCTTGATAGTATTAAAAAACGCTAGTACCCCATAATGGCAAATATGTTGAATCAAGAGCGTTGTCGCGTCACCGCGTAGCGACCCGAGCCCTCGACCTATAAGGCTGCTTGATATAAGAACATGTATTCTTTGAGAAGTTCATTGGAAAGAAAAATATTTTCCTTTCAAATTGATTGTAAGTTACATCAATTTCGACTTGCAGAGATGAAACAAAGATAAAATGAGGAAAGCAGACTCTTTACAAGGACCCTTTGCTGCACATTGGCCCCAAGGGAAAGAAAAAAATACTCTGCAGGAAAACACATGAGAGGACTATCTACCAAAAAAAAAAGGCTTAACCAAATAGATTAGGACCTGCAAATTTAGCTGATGCTTTCCACTTTGGGTGTGCAGTAACTTGACACTAAGACTACAAAGGAAGTTGCTCGGCGCTTTTAGAATCAAGCATGGTGAGACGGTATCTGGATCGGCATAGCTTCACAATATACTCTCATGGAACAGCTTGAAACTTAATCTGCTCCATTTAAGATATCTGCGCCGTGATCCATATAAGGGAAAATGCTACACCCCCCGGCGTCCGCTGCATAGCTCGGAGAAGGAAGCAAATTGTCTCCGTGTTCGCTTGTCAGTAGAGGGAAGTAAACTGGAGTCTGTGGGAGAAAGGTAGAGTCATCTACAGAGTAATTAGGCTGCAGTGATGGAGGAAAAGCTTGGTCTGTGAGATTGCTATGGATTTGGAAAATTAAAGACTGTGCTCCATCTTCTTCACTGTCGTAATTATTTGAAGCACCAATTTGCAGGTTCTCTGCTAAGAATATAGAATTACTTTGCCTCAGAGACATGTAAAGGAAGGTATTTGAACTCAAGTCATGGTTTACGTTTCAGATTTAACGCGTTCGATCAACCAATAAAGAATCGAAAGAAGCCAACTGGGAACCTTAAAGAACCGAACCGATCTAACCGATCTAACAGATGGTTCAAGCACAGACAAAAAAATAGTAGGAAAGAAGCATATAGAACTGCTTCAACTAAAGGCTTTTAACCCTGTTGAGCATCAACACGAAAAAAAGAGCTACTTAAGCATAGGAGGCAGTAACTTTTCTGAAGAAACATGCAATTTGGTTGTATAAATTACTTGTGAAGGGTAGGATGATCATCAAATCGAAAACCGAAAGAACAACGAATATGTTGTATTATATCGATCATGAACAGTTTTTATACCTTGTGAATGTACGATGCTAGGCCCCAAAGATTGCATTCCTGGATAGGGAGAATTGGAAGGACCAGCTTGTGGGTAGGTCAATGGCAGTTTCGGGTTCCGCTGCTCATCAAATCTGTTCAGATATATTGGCTTATTCAGATCTTCAATCCATGACTGCAAATGAAAATGACAGCTACTAAGTTTCAGACCAGAAATTTCTATTAGATGAGGGAAGAATAACTTTAAGATGACAAAGATCATGATTCCTTTTTTCCCCCATTTGTTTCATTTTCTCCTTCAATACAGAAAACAAAATCATAGTTTACTAAACATAGAGATATGACAACTTTTGAGATGGAGTTGAACAGATTAATTACCCCATGCCATCCATTTGGGTATCTAGAAACCGTGCACTCGTCCATAGTGCAAGTTTTTGCATGATCCAAAACTTTTCTCCATATCTTATCCGACATTCGGTCAAGTATCTGCAATGTAATCGGCGAAAAAAAAAGTATTGAGTTATAAGATTATTTTTCCTAGAGTTGAAGGAAAAAGGTACAACAACTAAACATAAACGATGTAGAATTACACATAACACAACCAAAGCAATTATCTTACATGGCGTAATTTCAGTTGATTCGTTTCATTCAAAAGGAGAAAGTCTTTGACACTGTGAATTCCGTGCAAAGTAAGCTGCTCGTGGAATTTACCATCTTTTCGTATTTTCTCCAAACGCCACACTTCATCTTGCAATCTTGGAGGATAATGCTTCATATACCCTAAAAAGTAACTAATCAATTAAAAGCTTTAAGCTGTAAAACAAGATCATCATTTATCAGAATCTGGTACCCAGAAAATGAAGGTCAAAGGTCAACAAGGCGCAAAAGAGGGGTGTTTGTTCTAAACGTTGAGTTATCACAACTTACCCTCTCCACGGCCGTCCTTGACAGAAAAAGGATAGCTTCTGGCTGGCCTAACTCTTTGTCCTCCATAACTTTTGGGTGAAATTTTAGCTCCCAATATGAACATCTTGTTTGGTATCCAGCTGGAATTATCAGTGATACTAAGATCACCGATAAATCCAACCCCGTTTTTCAAGATGATACTCTGATGTCCTGCTAAGAGAGGTCTTTTACCTTCCCTTTCACTTAAAATTTTAGAATTGAAATCCTCCTCGGTCCAATCCTCTCTATAACTGGAAAATAGTCCATTGATGACAACAAAATCGACCTCCGCTGATGATAGTGGACCAGATTGCACTATAGTCTTCGAATTGGCATCATATAGTAGAATTTTCAATGGTTTGCCATCATCAGCTTTCAGGGGATTATTTGTGAATATTCGGTCTGGCAGTTTGCTTTCGAACATCAGCTGCAGATTACAACCTGCTGTTGTTGTTTCAGCCTCACTAACTGAGCTGCTGGAGAACCAAGAGGAAGCTAAAATCAAATGGAATACAATGAAAAAGGAAAACATAATGATGAGTGAATTATCATATGTTTAAAAATGCCGGTAACGAACCAATTTTACCAATTAATAGGTCATTCGTATGAACAAAAAATCAAAACAGCTATCCTAAACTCGATGGCAGTCAAACTTACAGGACAAAAGCTTTAAAAGGAGCACAGTTCACAAAAGTTCAAAAGTACGTACGTACCTTGAAGACGAGGGGAAAAGCTTGGAAATAGCACATTCTGTCTCTTCTCTTACCTAATAACCAAACATACAGAAAACATAAAATAGAATATCAAATGTCTGAAATCAAAGTTTTTCTTTCATATTTTCTCGTCTAAAGAATTAAAAATAGAAAAGAAAAAAAAAAGTAATCATAAAACACAAGAAGAAGAAGGAATCAAATGTTTGCTCCCTATGGCCGCGGCTCATCTGAACATCAGAGCATGTCGATGTTAGCCACGTGTCCCTATATTTATCTTCTTTATATAGCGTTTATTAGTTACCCGCAATTTGAATTTTAAACTTAAAAGTGATTGGAGACTAGGTGACCCATAACTTGGTGTAACTTCCTACATTATCTCGAGTATTCAAGCGAGGTTTTTCTTTTGAAACTCTTCAAAACTCCATTGGATCTTTCTTGATAGGATACAAAAAAGGAAAACAGAGAGACTAGAGAAAGAGCACAAAGATCAGTAGCCAAAAAAAAAAAAAAAGCTTGTGTTTTCCAAAGGCACCAGGGTAATTTCCTTTATCTACAACGACCACAATTCTAATTGCTAAACTAAAAAGCAAAGCTATAATGAAACAAGGTAGCCAAAGTAAATTCTAACATCAAATTAATATGTTCATCTAAACATAAGAGACTCGTCTTACCACTTTCCGAATCAGAGGTTCGAGAAAAGCAAGCAGGCTAGCCTCCCCAACAGCTCTGCAGAAACACAATTGAAAACCAAATGTAAGAAAACAGAAAATCAATGTACCAATGTTCTTGGACTAACTATACACTCACTTCTGGAAAATATTGATTCGTTTTGGCTCTTTATTCGGAGTTCCAAAACCGTCACCATGGAAGTCATGAAAAGGCCTCTTCTGTACCATCAAATACCAAGAAATTAACTCAAAATAAACAACATCTCTAACGAATTACACTCACGATCAATATTTATATAGAAATGGCTATTGAGAATCAATTCTACTCGGAAGGGAAGAGGAAGCTTCCATTAAACTACATAAGAAACGCGTAAATGGTTGAAGTCAATTTTATATTGTAAAATAAAGGTTGAGATCAGCAACGACAATTCTCTTGAAGGAGCCTGACATTACCAAGATTTTGTCATGGAAAGTTGGTAGAAATTCTCTGAGTTTCAGATAACTAAATAAACTGCCCTGTCCTTTGTCATATAGAAGAAACAATTAAAAAATATATCAACCACTGCCCTATACGTGTTCTTAACTGATAGTGATTGGGGAGTGGATTTTGGAAGAGAAATTGAAGAGAAATCAATGAAAATGGACGATTGAACTAGAAGAAGCATAGAAGTAACAGAGAAAGTTCACACCATTTCAGCCACTAGATTTCAAAAAGCTGAAATTACCTTCTAAGTTCTGGGAAAATTCAAAGAAGATTGAAAATACTATACTTAGAACATGAATGGGTGCACCCATTTCCTCGAGAACGGCGCAACTCACATGAAAATGACAAGCGACGACAGAAAAACACAAAGATGTTTGAAAGTGAGACAAAAAATTACATTCTCGCGGAGTTGAGGAGCATTCAAATGTGAATGAAATGGACAGAACTAATCTCATTGTCCCCACATCCAATTAAACAATTACATTTAACTGTCAAAAGAGGAAAAAGAAAGCATAATGAAATCAAACGAATTAGGGTTTATTTCGGGGAAATTGAGAGGAAATGAGTGGGTTCAAGAGTAATTACTTGAATTTTCCGCACTAAGTGGACTGACGACCACCAGGTTAGAAGTCAATGCGCCGATTGTACGAAGAACTTTTAGAAACTTAGGCGATCTGTAATTTCGCAATAAATCTGACACCAATTTTGTCAAGGATTCGAGTTTCCAGGAAGATGCAGATCTCTCTTTCGCCATTATCGGCTCTGTCCCCTCTCCCTTTGGGCGGTTCGATCTCCATCTATCCGCTTTTGATTCAATTCTAAAGCCCACATGGATGATGCCACGTCAATAAATATATGTAACTTTTAATTTTAAAGTCGAATAAATTAGTAAATTAAAATATATACATACACATATACATATATACACATACATACACCCGCTATATATATATATATATACACACCTGCTTAGCTTTCTTAGCCAACATCTCCGATTTTCTGCGAACCAAGAGGTCCTACTTATCTAGACCGAACAGTCACATTTTCAACTGAAAAACTGATTTTTTCATAAAGTCGGTTCATAAACCAAAAAAGAATGAAGTTGCTTGGGATGGTTACGCAATGTCTTTTCGTTCGCCTTTTCTTTAACCTTGCTATCAAATATATATATATATATATATCTCATGTCTGTATTGAAACGAATTATTATAAAAACAACCCGAACTTAGATTATTCAGTACACAAGATAGAAGACAATTAATCACGTGACCTACCGTAAGAACATCCTCTCCCCAATAAGTGGATTTCTTAACGACCAGTAAGTTGATATGTAACTTATGGTAAAGTTAAGATATCATATTGGGTTTTGATTGTTGGATGACGAGAGTCCCACATCAGCTAATTTATGGAATGATCACGAGTTTATAAATAAAGAATACTCTTTCCATTGGTGTGAAGCCTTTTGGGGAATCCCAAAACAAAGCCACGAGAGCTTATGCTCAAAGTGAACAATATCATATCACTGTGGAGAGTCGTGTTCGTCTAACATGGCATCAGAGCCATGCCCTAAACTTAGTCGTGTCAATAGATTGGTAAATCTTCAAATGTCGAACAAATGACTCCAAAAGAAAAAGGAGTCCAGCCTCCTCGAGGACACGAAGGCAGTAAAAAATGACCAAGACTCCAAAGGAGTCAAACCTCGATTAAGTGGAGGAGGCGTGCTTTGTTCGAGGGGAGCCATGAGACTTTATGCTCAAACTGGACAATATCATACCATTATGGAGAGTCGTGTTCGTCTAACATTGATATAATCATGATTCGATAAATGATCACTATGAGCCAGACTATTACATTTTTTCTTATCACCACTAGACGTTTCTCCCCGAAACTCGTTGAGGCACAACAAAATATATAGATTCACCGCTTGATGTTTGATACATGTATTTTAAAAATTTATTTTTTGATTTTATGATTCAAATATTGCAAACTTCAAAAATATTTAATTTTAATTTTTAAAAATACAAAAAATAATTTTTTTTTATAATAAAGATAGTATTTAACGTTGTAAACTCTATCATTTTATAAAAAAAAAAAAAAACAATACAATGTATTATAAATCTAGATATTTTAAAATAATAATTATATAGCATTTTTTTTTAATGTAAATCAGTCTTATAAATTAATTAATGATATTCAACCTAATTCTAAGGGCCGTTTACAAATATATTATAAAATAAATTTTGATTATTTGTTAAGCAAAGTGCAATTTATGAATGTAATAGAAATAATAATAGTTATTATTTATAATATATATAAATTGAAGGATTAAATGGATAAAAATGTAAATAATATATATACACTCACAATGATGTCACCCGCTTTAAAGCTAATTTTGCGCGGGAGGAAACGAGCTTCCACAGAACTCAGAAATGGGCGGTCACGACTTGGAATTGGAGAGAGCTCGGTTGCTAAGTTTGGCTGCTGAACTCGGTTTCGATGAAGAATCGGCGGAGGCCTGCTTGAACCGGATGATCAATCTATACGGTACTTTCTTCGATCTCCAGCCATATCCGAACCCTAAATTTGCACTTTAATTTCATCTGTATAACTCTTTCGTGTCTGGAATGAGGACAATGGAACATCGTTTAATCCATATTTTGTTGATTCTAAGATGCGCGCTGTAGGAACATGGATTTGGAAATGTCATTAACATAGTTTCGTAGTTATGGGCCGAGGAGAGGAACTTAAATTGTTCGCTTTCGTTCAGTTTTTTTTTTTTTTTTTTTTTTTCTTTTCCTGAATTCATTTGTGGAACGTTAGGGGGTAGGATGCACATGTCATAGGATCTGGTGTATAGTTTTTGTGAGAATATGGTTGTGTATCGACTTAGCATTCAGTGTAAACCGTTGTTCTGTTGATGAATCGTATAAACCATTTTAAAACGATTGAAGTGGTTTTAAATTTTGCTTGCATGAGATATGTTGGAAGTATTCTGACTACTAACGGTTGGGATAATGTTATTAGAGCGAGATTGATCAGCTAAGAGTAAAATCAGCTCTTCTAATTGAGCTATTAAAGTAAAAAGTTGGCACTGTCAATTATCTGTTTATGGATGCGCTTCTTTTTTCAGGTGATGATGGACGGGAATTTGTCTCTGTTGAGCATTGTGGAGATGATTTTTTGGCGGCTCTTGCGGAGTCCGCTCAAGACAATGAGGAGTGGGATGATTTACAGGCAATGGAGTCAGAAGCTTGTGGTGCTTTAGATATTATTCTCGATGAAAAAATCCAAAACAAAGATGGAGTTCGTAATGGTCACAACAGGGAAAGCTCAATCAATATCATAGAAGATTCATCTGAAGCGGAGGAAAACCCAAATTTGGTTAACATCGATTCTTCCAGTGAAAGTGATGATGTAGAATTCAATGCTTCAAAGAAGAGAGATTTTGATTCTACCATTTCTTATTGTTCCGATCGGGCTACTTCCATACTCACTTCAAGTAATTACTCTTCAATATCAGGGGTAGGCTTCTTGGTTGGCCATAGATGACTGTTTTATTTATTCATTATATTGTCATGAAAATTTGTAGCATTTTAAATCTGGAAGCAGCCTTTAATAGTCTCAATTTTGTACTCCAAGCGCTTTAACACAGTACACTGAGATAAAACTTTTAGCTTATTTGAAGTACTGATTGAATAAGTTATGTTGAAGGATTGCAAAAGCAGCACTACTCGGTGTTCAGTTTCTTCAAGTCCAGGAAAAAGACTGCCCTCTAGAGCTTCAGGGGTTGAGCACAAAACTCTTACTTATGAAGAGTTACAGACTTTGGATGATTTTGAATTGGCGAATGTAGTTATTTTTGGAAACAAAACATTCCGACCTCTGCAACACGAGGCTTGTAAAGCAGCTGCATCAAAGCAAGATTGTTTTATACTTATGCCAACTGGAGGTGGCAAAAGCTTATGTTACCAGGTCATCTTTCTCTTACTTTCCTACACAATTTTAAATATAAGCAGTGATCTTTATAAGCAGAGATACGATAAGATTGTTCTATAATCTATGTTACAAAGTTCGGCTGCAGTGATCCTTAGAATCCTCTGACTGCTACTTCGTTCCCTGAATTATCCGAGGCATCCATGCCTGTGGTATGGAATGTTATGGCCTCAGTGTCATCCATCATGCGTGCATTATCCACATACATTTTTGTTTTGTAAATATTTTCTTATAGATATTTTGTTTGGTTATGAGTTTTGAAAACTGAAGAGAAGCCTTGAATAATTTTGTGTTGATCGGATGCATGGCTTCTTAAACTTGTTTTTTTTACATCGACTTCACTCTGTGCAGCTGCCTGCAACAATTCAACCAGGTGTTACTGTTGTCGTATCTCCCCTCCTTTCCCTAATTCAAGATCAGATAGTTACATTAAACCTCAAGTTTGGAATTCCGTCAACGTTCTTAAATTCTCAACAAACTTCTTCTCAAGCAGCTGTTGTCCTGCAAGAATTGAGGCAAGGTTTATTTCCTTCTCTGGGTGTGATATTTGTGATGTTTTAAGTTTAGTGAGTCTGTCACCATATTTCTAAAACTTATATGATTTATAGTATACAGAAAGCCAATTCTTCTCTCAGGAAGAATGATATGCATACTACTCTATTAGGATACTTATTTTAATGTTTTTAGAGTTTGAGTTAAATCTCTTTGACAAAGCACGATGTATGTGCTTTTAGCAGTTATACGTGAATAATTTCAGAACTTTTTGATACTCCTTGTGTATACTTTCAGATTGCGTTTTCTTTTCTCATTTGTAGGAAGGATAAACCTTCATGCAAGCTCTTGTATGTGACTCCTGAGAGAATAGCAACTCAGTCATTTTTGGAGATTCTTAGATTCATGCATTTGAAGGTGACCTGTTAGGACATGCTAAATAATATGAAGTTTTTATTTCCTAAATTTTCTATTACAAATAATGTTAAGTTTAAAATGTAATGACAGAAACAACTTGCGGGTTTTGTTGTTGATGAAGCACACTGTGTAAGGTATGACATGCTCTTTGTTTA